ATCATAAGGTCAAAAGCAGTTGGAGAATCTGAATTAAGTTTTAGAAAAGCAAACATACCTGTGGAGAAATAAAAGAAGACAACAAGGAGGTGGGGGAGGCAGGTAGAGAAGGCCTTGGATCTGCCCTCAGCAGAGGGTATTCTTAGTACTGTGGAGAAGATGTGTATATAGGAGAGGACAATGGAGGTGAAGCAAATGAATGCTATCACAGATACGAAAGCTGCAACTCCAATCACTCGAAGGTAATCATTGGAGCAGGAGAGCTTTAGCAACTGGGGGACGTCACAGAAGAACTGATGAATTATTTTGGCCTTACAGAATGTGATGGAGAATGTGGTTGCTGTGTATGAGATTCCAGAGATACTTCCACTTAGCCATATGGCTATCACAGCCCCCTGACACTTACTAGGATTCATGATGACCTCGTAGTGCAGTGGGAAGCAGATGGCGGCATAGCGGTCATATGACATCACTGTGAGAATGGCCATCTCAGACCAACCCAGAGATGTGAAGATGAAAACCTGGAGTATGCACTGACCTTGAGAAATATAACCATTATCCATCAGAGAATTGTCAATAGACTGGGGAACTGTGACAGAAATGAAGGAGAGATCCAGGAGGGAAAGATGTTTTAAGAAGTAATACATTGGGGATTGGAGATGCTCATCCACTGTGGTGATGATGATAATGATGAGGTTACTTGTTAAGGTTAGTATATACACCACTAAAAATAGCAAAGCATGTAAAATCTGTAGCTCACGGATGTCAGAAAATCCCATGAGGAGGAATCCACTCATTGAGGTTATATTTGTCATAATCATTTTGAAGAAATTAATTGTGGAAGCAGCTAGAAGAAAGAAGAATATGGAAAACGCAGTAGAAAAATGTTAAACTGAAATTTCATTTATTCATCCATCATAGCTTCTTAAAGCAATTATTAATTAAGTACCTGCCATGTATCAGCTGCATCCTTGAATTCTGGGATACAAATATTTAGCTCACAGTGTAAACTAGCAAACCAGTAGTTAAAGTTGAGTCTGTTTGTGAAAGTCATTGGTCACGTCACAGAAAAATCATTACATTTACCCTACCAAAAGACCACCAACTTCCTTTTCCACCAATGAAACTCATAGCTTTGCTTTAACTAAAAAACAAAAGCACTGCTCAACTACTGAATACCTAAAATTGGACGAGTAGTATTTATGTCAAATATTTACAGATGGAATTGCTCTTTAAAGGCATATAGTTTTGGCTCAGCTGATTGGGTCCTAAGGTCCTTTCTTGCCAAAGAATTTTATCATATGGAAAATGCCTGTAACTGAAGAGTCAAAGGCCAAATTGTGTAGCATGAGGACCCTTCCAATTAACACCTTATTTAATGAAAATCTCATTGAAAAGAAGAACACTTTGGCAAAGAAGTACTTGCATGTCACTCTCAGATTCAGGGTTTAATTTTCTGGAACATTTTTTGGTATCTAAATTAACTTTATCTTTGCATTTTCTCTTCATTTACCTTCTCTTCCTTTTATTTACAACACCAAAACAGAATCTCATGAGGAATAAACTGCTATGTATTTCTGAGAATGGAGAAATCAGGTTTGGGTTCATGGAGCAGTGCCTTTGGCTTTGTGCCAGGAAAATAATCAAGATCCCTTCATTAAGAGACCAAAAGCCAAACTCACTGCCTTCCAGTCAGTTTGGACTCATGGCGACCTTATAAGATAGAACAGAACGGCTCCATAAGGTTTTCAAGGCTGGAATCTTTACGCAAGCTGACAGCCACATCTTTCTCTTGGGTAGCAGATGGTGGGTTTGAACTTTTTGATTAACAGCAAAGTGGGTAAACTCTGCACCACAGTTCCTTTATAGCTATGATGAGTGATGAGTCACTTTACAATGAGATCCTCGTATTCCTTGATTTTTTTGTTCCTTCCATCTGTGTGAGTTCTAGGTAACAATTGGAAAAACTGCTGCACCAGAGTCTTTTGTGGCTTTATATTGAACTATGCGATGTCTCTTAAATGTTTATTTAATTATTTGTGTCTTAGAAATTCATCTTCTTGGAGTCTTGGTGTGGTGCTACAGGATAGTGCACTGGACTGCAAAGTTGGATTGAACTACAAGATCGATGGTTCAAACTCACAGCTGCTCTTTGGAAGCCCTTTAACAGGGTCATTATGAGTCAGAACTGACTAGATGGCACATAATAGCAATGATAATTCATCTTAAAAGCAATAATTGGGAAAATCCTAAATCTTGAGGCCAGCACTCCCTCCCTCTCCCCATTCCTTATAATTAAAAAAAAAATTCTATTGTGATTTGGATGGAAGTTTACAGAACAAATTGGTTTTGTAACCAACAATTCCTACACATTTTGTTTTGTGACATAGTCCTTACAGTGTAGTGCACTCTGTCCACTTTCTTCCATATTTAGCATTTCCATTTGTCTTTCTTTCCTTTGTCTTCTTGCATTTTAAGCTTTACTGTTGTTGTTATGCGCCCTGTGACTCATAACGACCCTGTATAGGATTTCCTAGAAGCGGCTCGTGAGTTTGAACTGCTGACCTGTGATTCAAACGGACCTTGTGGTACAGTGCACTAACCCTGGTGCCAAACCAGGGCTGTCCTCTGATCTTGAATGGCTGATTGTTCTAAGAAGAGAGCTTATAGGCATGTTTAACATGTGGCTGAAGTTGAGCCATGGGGTAGAGTTCTTTTAAATGTCAAGTCACAAGTGTGAGTTTAGTTTGAAGTCTGAAAGGTATCCAAGAACCATAATCTCTGGGGTTCTATCAGTCTCTTTTTAGAACAGCAAACCTAGTCTTCTTTTAAAATTTTGAATTCTGTTCCACGTTTTTCTTCCACTCTATCGAAGACCTCCTACTGTGATCACTTTCAGAGTGGTGGCAAATATATTCATGACTGTAGTAGAGCATTCAAGACTATACAGGGTCGCTATGAGTTGGAACCACTCGCTGGTACTTAACAACAACATAGTAGGGCCTGGAGTCCTGGTGTGGTGCTGTGGGATAATGCACTGGACCACAAGGTCAGTTTGAACAGCAAGGTTCAAATTCACTAGCTTCTCAGAAATCCTATACCGAAATCCTGTATGAGTCAAAACTGACTCGAAGGCATTTAACAACAATATAGTAGCTCATGGAGTCCTAGTGTGGTGCTGTAGGATTAGTACTGGACTTCAAACCACAAGGTCAGCAGTTCAAACCTACCAGCTGCTCCTTGGAAACCCTATAAGGGTCACTATGATTTGGGACAGACTCAATGGCACTTAACAAAAACAACATAGTAGAGCATACAGGGGCAAAGTTATGGAAACTTATTATCCCTGATCAAACATCTTGAGGAAATGAGTCATTTGCCTTGGGGGTGTAATATCCGAGTCTCAGGGGACATCAAGATCAACTGGCATAACATAGTCCACAAAGACAATGTTCTTCATCCTTATCATTTAAGTGTATAGACAGGTCAGATTTACTCTGCCTTCAACAATTCTCTTCCCTGAAGAATGCCCCTAGCAATCGATAGCTCTATCCTACTGTCTGAAATGGGAAAGTGCTATTAGATCTATAATAGAAACAGATATCAAATTAAATGAAATGTTAAAACCTTTTTCTGTTGTTCTTGCTTCCAAATTTAAAGTCTCTTGTCTTACTCTGTAAAAATGAAGCATAAGGTTAATTTATCTAGAATCTCCCCAACTGTATCCAAAGTTCTCACTAGATAATAGAAAAAAAGAGGAATGAGAAAAGAATTTGTAGAAACTGTGTTAGAGCAATTATGTTGCTTCTAACATAATTTCTTCATTTCCATGCTCTTTTTCTTTGTTTTTTGTTTTTTTTTCTTGAATTGGTAAAATGATAAACAGCATTATTTTCCATAGTTAAGTTTACTTTGGTTCAGTAAATATTTTAATCTTCCATATTTGCATAAGTAATGGATTGTCTTCCAACAGGGAAGGAAGGAAAATACGAAGCAATTTTAAATGTTCATTTTTATGAGACAGACACCATGTTAGAAATTATCATTAAATAAATTTTATTTATTCCATATAGACACTTTTAGCTTTTAGGAGTTAAGCTCCATTTTTAAAGGAAAAAATATGACTCAGTGTACATGCATAACATGATTGAGATCTGTTCCCCAAATACTGGAACTTTCTAATTCACACTGCTATGTTGCATCTAAAAATCTCTAAATATTAATAAGACGCAGTCTGGAGCATTGGGGAAAGGTTGTAATTACACTAACAGAGCATATATCCAAGGCTCTGCCACTTATAGATGATGCTTTCAGGAGTTTTTGAAGAGGTGTTTCATAGTTGTTTCACCGAATACTTATATAGACACATAAAACATTAACACTTCTCAATGAACCTTCCTTAAATGACTCATTATTGAAATACATTGGTATAAATTTGACCTTTGGACCCTGTAAATCTTCTCATTTTCAGGGCAAGTAGCATCTTTTACAATCAACAGTTCTGCTTTTTCAAACTCAATTGGAAGAACATAAGGTTTTCATCAGGGTTTCCTGATGAAACAACTACAACCTCTGAGCTGTCAGGGTTTCCACCAAATATTTCCCTGTGTCCTTACTAAAGATTGGAAAACTCACCACAGCTGTTTTTGGTGTGTGGCAACTGCTGATCCTCAACTTCTAACCTTTCTCACCTGCACTCTCACCGATCATTTAAAGCCTGCTGATTCTCTTGAGAACCTAGCCTTGTTGTTTTCTTCTTTTATTTTTTTCATCTTTCTTAATGGATGCCAGAACTCATAAATAAAGATATTGCATTTTCTCTACCTTCCTGTAATAAAGAAGCAATGCAATTAAAATCAACACTCCAGTTTCTATAAAATGATAATGAAGAACAGTCTGTAATATTTAATTGTAATGATTTTAAAGACTTTCCCCATCATGCATAGAGTTTCTCTTTATCCACCACCTAGGCTCCTTTTCCTACTTCTCTGTTCCTCAAAAGTCCCCAGCTTGAAGTTGACTAAGAGACCATGCTTTTCCTTTTCACATCTAAAACCTCATTATTACTGTTATTAATTGTCGTTAGCCCTGCATAAGGTCTCCAAGGTGTAGTTTCTGGGTATGAACTGCCGACCTTGTGGTTAGCAGTCCAGTTCCTTTTTCTACAACACCACACCAGGATTCCCAAACCTCCTTAAATTGTTCTCCAAAGTAGTTTGAATAATTTATATCTCCATCAGCTTTGTTGTATAACAATTGTCATAGAATTTTAAACTTACCAACTTGCTATTTCTCTGTAAATAAATGTACATGTTTTTATTTATTGTTTTCATTTTATTAAATTTGCTTGATTTTTATTCATGAACTTTTGCCCAATTTTTTTTGTCTTATTGGTTTGTAGGAATTATTTGCATCTTTATTGTTGTTACCGTTCAGTGCTGTAGAATTAGTTCCAACTCATAACAACACTGTATAGGGTTTCCCAGGAGCTGCTGGTGAGTTTGCCATTCAAACTGACCTTACTTTCCAGTGATTATCTTACAGAACCACATCAGGACTCCATCTTTAGAATACTGTGGGTTAATGTGCTGCATTGCAAAGTCGTTTGAACCACAAGGTTGGTGGTTCAAGCTCACCAGCTTCTCCTCAGAAACCCTATACAGGGTCACTACGGGTCAGAACAAACCTGACACCACTTAACAACAACAACATCATATATATATGACTATATTATTTTAATATTTTTCAGGTAACATTTTCTAATATTTTCTGCACAGTTCTGTACATGTTTCATTATATTTATTCTAATTATTTTTATTTT